ACAGCCTTGCCTCACTCCTGAGTTAACAGGGAAGAAGCATGACAGGCCCCCACCACACTTTACAGCACTTTCAGTACCAGTATATAGGCTTGATATTAATCCAATAATCCATGTCGGAATTCCTCTAAGTCTCAGGATCTCCCATAACGACTCACGATGCACCGAATCAAAGGCCTTCTTGAGAACGAAGTGCTAGGATACAGTCTATTGTGGACTTGCCAGGAGTGAATCCAGATTGCTGTTCTCTAGTGCCTCAGCAGGTTGTTGCGGATCCGTTTCAGAAGAATGTGGGCGAAAATCTTGCCTGGTATACTGAACTTCCCAAACCTCAGTCAGGATAGGGGGATCTACACTGACAGGTGGGTCAGGCACAGTTTTCTCGCGGGAGCAAACCAGCGAACCAATGAATTACCCCTGAACGACCAGTCTCCACCACCGTTCGTCACACCACGCCTGCCTTCGACTTCGTGCTGGACCCTGCGAGCCGGCACTTGGGAGAGAGACGGCGACCAGAGAGCACAGCAGAGGGCTTAGCAGATACGAAGTCGGGCGCCCCATGGTACTTCTCCCCGTGGTACTTTGCCTCGTGGTACTTCACCCCGTCGATATCTCGACTCGTTATGCCAGTGGCCCAAGTTCCTGCCCACCTTGCCTCCAACGAATATAAAGTTGGGTATTCATGAGATCGCCATTTGTTTGGGCAAATGTATATTGCCACATGCCATGCCATACTGTTTATTTGATAAAGCCAGTTAATGTGTAATTGTTGTTTTTACATACTAAAGTATTGCTTCCCATCAGTGGGGCTAATAGAGTAACAATAAGTGCACTTAAAGACAGCAGAGAAATACTAGACAGAAAGAAAGGGGTGGCGTAATGCTACAGGTGTATCCACCCATACTGATTGTGCCACTGCCAGGTCTCCTCACGTCCAAGAGGGTGGCCACCTCAACTCCCAGCCACTAAAGTTCCCTTGATAGCAAGGGCAATCTCTCATTTTGCCGTAAAGACCAGATGTTCCAAGCTCCCACCTGTACCTACGCCTGCTATATTTAAAGAGAAGAGATCTCAAACCATGCCCAATCGCCTCTACTCTATCATAGCCTACCATAGCACCCTCGATGATCTCTCTAACCCATTCCGTTGCTTATGGGTGTTTAAGGGGTCTATAAGGGGTATACGAGTACTCACACCATATCCATTCTCATTTACTCTAGGATAGCTTTCCATAACACCCTGGATCACCTCTGTAATCCTTGCCTTTGTTTAGGAGTGTATTTAAGGGGTCTAAAAGGGGTATGAAACTTTTCATACCATACCTAGTCTAATTTAGTAATTTACTCTGTGATAGGTTTCCATAGCACCCTAAATAAACCTGCAACCATGTACTGTTGCTTCAATATTTATGGAACGACACATAGCCTATACCACGCAGGACCTTGAGACCTTTCTAATGCGCCCAAGAACTCCCCCCAACTCCTTGTGGTTGCTGAGAAAAAGTGAACCTAAGTAGGTCTCTGATTATGGTTATGGTGTATGCTTTTACGGTATGAAAGTTGTTAATATATAGCTCAGTGGCCGGCCCCCTTGTTTTCGGTTCAGTTGGATGGGGATTGATTGTGTTTTTTTTTTTTTTTGGGGGGGGGCGAAGGCTATGGCCAGGGCCGATTATATTTACGCACACACATACATGTATATATGTGTATGTATACACACAAACACACGCACATACACACATATATATAATGGCAGTGGTTTGACTTCCAAGGGGGAAGTGGAGGAATAATAAGGGTTGAACTTATGCACAATTCTTGGTCCAATATTCCAAGAGAAATGACTATCAAAATACAGCACAAAAGTGAAATATCTGGACCAAGAACTACAACGTTGTGTTTCAATTCAACCCAATGACGATGGTCTTCGTAGCCACGCTAGTGTTTAGGTTATATATATATATATATATAATATATATATATATATATATATATATATATATACATGTGTGTGTGTGTGTGTGTGTGTGTGTGTGTGTGTGTGTGTGTGTGTGTGTGTGTGTGTGTGTGTGTGTGTATATATATATATATGTACACACACACACACACACACACATATATATATATATATATTATATATATATATATAATTATATATAAATGTACATATATATATATTATATATATATATATATGTACATATAATATATATATAATATATATATATATATATATATATATATATATATATGTACACACATATATATATATATATATATATAATATATATATATATATATAGTACATATAATATATATATTATATATATATATATATATATATATATATATATTATATATATATATATATATATGTACATATAAATATATATATATATATATATATATATATATATATATATATATATTATATATATATATATGTACACACACACACACACACACACACACACACAACACACACACATATATATAATATATATATAT